GTCAGAGCCAAAGGTCTTCACCATAGCTTATTGGAGTACTGAGGGAAGACACCATAACTAGCAGGACTAAGAAAACTATAACACTGACCTAAGCCATGACACTGAAGGTCAGAGAGCCTACAGTCATGCTTGAGAAGCGGTCTGGACTGAAGGATTGTATTCTGCTGCCAGATTGAATTATAACCTGCTAATTTCCCTAATAAACTCCATAACTGTGAGGTCTTTGTAGTCATTGCAATGGATTTTGGACTCAAGATAGTAGTAAGATTTGTGTTGAAATTAGTACAGATAGGTATAGGAGCCACATATTTTGAACACATGGTCAGGAGGGACAGTTCCTTGGAGAAGGATATCATGCTCGGAAGGGTGGACAGACAGGTCAAGAGAGGAAGACCCTGGATGAGATGGATTAATACAGTAACTGGGGCAATGGATGTAAATACGTTGGAGTCTGTGAGACTGGCTTAGGACAGGGCAGGCTTCTGAACTACTGAACTTATAAGATTGCTACAAGTTGCAGGAGACTTTATGGTACATAACAACGACAACAACAGATACAGGACCTTATTAGAATTAGTTTTGTACTGTGAATGTTGTTGATGAGGAGTTAGTACAAGTTGGATTTAGCCATCCTCATGCTGCTTGCACTCTTTCCCCCTATTATAGTCTTATTTTAATTTTTCTTATAAAATTTTTCTCATATAGTCTTTAGAGTTGCATTTTATGGTTAATAAATAAAAGACTGAGGCCTTCAGTTGATTGTTTCCTGTAGATTTTAAAATAAAAATTATAAAATCACATGGCTGGGTAGAACTGTACAAGTATGAGGTATACGTGGCCCCATCAAGGAGATTGGATAGTTTACTAGCAATGTAAACGAGGCACATAGCACCTTTAGGATGAGAACATGCTACTGAGTTGTTAACTACTGATGAAGGGATTGGTTGGTATTGCCATCCTGCCAGACTTATATTGAGCAGGGCCAGCAGCACTACTACAAGAAGGAAGTGGGAAGTGCAGCAAGTTCTTTTTGACTAGAGATTACTGCTTGAGACAGAGACCCAGAACAGACCAGATCAGTACATAACAGCAGCAGAGAACCCGGGACTGCTATTCCACAGAGCCAGAGCTGAAGACTTTCATCTAGGTTCGTTGTTGAGTGAATGAGGGAACATAATTGGCAGTGCTCAAAGAGCTCACTAATACTCGGCTAGAACTTCAAGGCAGGGCCGACAAAGCTGAAAGTCAAAATGCTTGCAGGGTGTACCTGAGAAACTGTTTAGTCTGAAAACTTGTATCCTGAATTTCCAGCTAGAGTAGTGACCCGTTGTTCCTCTAACAAACCCCTTAGTTGTATTGTCTGTGAGTCTCTGTGGCCAGTGCAGTAGAATCAGAACCAGTAAGGGGTACAGCAGCAAGAACTCTGGAAAGTTTGGAGTTAGAATTGATACAAGTAGATGCCGAAGTGTGGGGCATGTCAAATCTCGTAGGGATCAGTTGTTATTTTTATTCAATCATTCATTCACATTTTGTTTTATTACAATTGATTAATTAGAATATCTGATCAACTCATTATTGTATACTATCTTTCCTTTTATCCAACTTACATATTTGTTTAGTTGTCCCTAGTGACTCATGTCTGAATTTTTAAAACATTCTGTTTTATGAAGAAAATGTTGGAAAGATGGAGCTGTATTGTCACTGGTCATCCTTAAGGTTTAACCATTATTTTTATTATTATTATTTCTTTATTTTTTTAAATTTTTTTTGTGCGTGTACTGTCAAATCAGATCCGACTGGTACAGGAGGAGATTGCCTCTCCCTTTCCAGCAGAGCATCTCGTGGACTTGAACTGTGTGCCTCTGGGATTGCAATGTAGGTTCTTGCCACTAGGCTACCAGAGCTCCCCAGGTTTAACCATTTTAAGGTATACTTATGTTCATTTTTTGCTTGTCACTCTTCTAGACAAGACCATGGCAGAGACTAGAAGTGCAAAGAAGAGATCTAATAAATCCACCTAAGCTGGTATTCATGTAGCTGACATGTCTTTGTGTACCATCGACTTGGAACCGACCCATAGCTGACCCTCCATCAGGTTTGCAAAGGCAGTTTATTGCATGGGAGGAGATTGCCCATCCTTCTCCCACAGCAGCTGGCAGAATCAAACCTCATGCCTTCAGGATCGCAGCACAGATTCTTAGCGCTAGGCTACCAGAGCTCTGATACTGCTACTGATATAGACAGATTTAAAAGTGAAACTAGGACAAAACTGACTGGTGCACATACCAAGTGTAACTCTTTCCCTCCTCGAGACCTTATGGCACAGTAGTTAAGAGTTTGGCTCTTAACTGAGAAGTTGGTGATTCAAGCCCACCACCTGCTCCCCTGGATGAACACTATGCTTTCTGTAAAGATTTATAGCCTTGGAAATTCTATGGGACATTTCATTTCTGTAGGGTTGTTATGTCCTGTAAGGTCACTGTGAATACGAATTGACTTAACAAGCATTGGGTTTTTGTATTTTCTGTTTATTTCCTATAAAAAAGTGTTTGAGTTCCTTACTCTAGCATTACGTTAGTCTCCACAGGATGACCCCAGTCTACATTTTCCTTCTTACTTAGGTTGTCTTTTTCAGGTAAATGTAGATACCTAACTTAAGATTTGGTTTCTTGTGTTGGGTCTTGTTGAGTCTGACTCATAGTGACCTTAAGAACAACAGATCTGGACCCTGCCTGACCTGAGACACTTATCTCTGAGACACTTGAGTGCATTGCTGCAGTTGCTGTAACAATCCATCTCATTGAAGGTCTTCTTCCCTTTCATTGACCTTTCACCTTCTGAAGCATGGTGCCTCTTTCCAAGGAATAGCTTTGTCTAGCAGTATGCCAAAGAATATGAGACAGTGCTTTACCATCCTTGTCTCCAAGAAGCACTCTGGTTTCACTTTTCTCCAAGACATATCTGTTCTTTTGGCAGTCGTTTGGAATATTCAACACTCTTCTCCAAGACCATAACTCAAAGGCATTGATTTGTTCTTGTCATCTTTATTCATTGTCCAGGTCTTATACATAGTAGGTGATTGGAAAGATTATTGCTTGAATCAAGCATACCTCAATCTTTTAACTGACATCATTACTCTTCAGGATTTTGGAGAAGTCCCTGACAGCCGCCTTTCACAATGCTATGTCTCCAGATCTCCTGATTGCTGGTACCAAGATTGTTAATTGTGGATCCAAGCAGTATGAAATCTTTGACAATTTCAGTCTTTTCTCCATCTTTCATGATGTTACTTATTGGCCCATTGGTGAGGTTTTTTGTGGTGAGGATTTTTGTTTTTTTGATGTTGAGATATAATCAATATCAAAGGCCATAGTCTCTCTAGTAAGTGCTTCCTGAAAGCGAGGTTGTGTCATCTGCATAACACAGGTTGTTGATAAGTCTTCCTCCAATCCTGATGCCACAGCTTCTCGATTGACTTGCTCGGACTACAGATTGAATAGGTGTGGAGAAAGGAAGTTCTATAGAATTGTCATTTTTCACAAGTCTTAGCATATCTAGTCTTAACTTGCCCTTTGACTCTCAGTGTAAAGTTTAACATTTCATTTCAACCCTCTGATTTTCCCCAATGAAATTACTTTTTCATCAGAACATACACGGTTCTTCATATGGCTTTTGTAAAAATCTTTATCCAACACATTTGTTATTTGAACATTTTTCAGTTGCAAAATTTAGCAATACCAGTTACATTAATAATGTGAAGCCATCACCCAAATTTCTCCCCACCATAAACAAACAAAAGCTAGTGCTCCTCTCTGCCCCTAATCTTTGATCCTTGTGTATTTACTTATTCATAAATGAGATCATATACTATTTATCCTTGTGGCTGGCTTTTTTTCACTTAGCATAAGGTATTTGAGGTTTACCTTGTAGCATGGATCAAGATTTCATTTCCCTTTCTTGCTAATTTGTATTCCATTGAATGTATGTACTACATTTTGTTTACCTAAGTTTATTCCTCTCATTATTTACACATTTTAGCTATTGCAAATGGTGTTGCAGTGCACATTGGCATACATGTTTACTCTGCTATTTTAGCTTCCTTTGGAATATAGGAAAGGGAGGAATTATTGAATCACATGGAAATACTGTTATATTTTTAAAGGACCATCAAATTGTTTCCGTGTCTATGACCATTTTGCACTTTTACCAGCAACAGATACTCACTCATTGATGTTCAGTGGGAACCAACTCATAACTGACTCTCCGGTGGGTTTTCAAATACTATAAACCGCATGGGGATAGAGTGTTATTCCTTTTTCCACAGAGCAGCAGGTGGAATTAAACCACTGGCCTTTGAGTTGCAACTCCTTACCCATGTGGCCACCAGAGCACTTTTTTTGTCTTCCTTAAACCAGCAATGGATAAAGGTTATAATTTTCTACATCCTGTTAATTGTTTTCTCCTTTTTACCATTTAGAATGTTATTTCTGCTTTTTATTCCCCCTCTGATACTTGTTTTGATAGACATATATTGAACAAATAAAATATTCTCTTTCAGAAGACAAGTGATTTAAAATAAGATTTGACAGATACAGCCTTTAGATAATTAAGCTCACACATCCATTGATTCATATGCCAGGCATTTATTAGTGCTTGTTTGTGTCAAGAACTTTGCTTAGTTCTTATAGTACAGTGGTGAGCAAGATAAACATAGTCTTTGCTGTTACAGAGATTCTACATTCATCTTTTATTATAAATAAATAAACGAAGTAATGCCAGAGAGGAACTGTAGAGAACATTAAATTAATCTTTTATTTCACAGAATAGGAAGTTAGGAGTAATAATAAAACCTCTCATTACTGATGTTTATGTATTTAAAATTATTTTAAAATTTGGCTAATATCTTAATATCAGAAAAATGATTAATATAAAGGTGTCATTCTATAAAATTGGCATTCATGAAACTAGGTGACTTTTTAATGACTATATTTCCTTTCTAGCTGTATTGTGACTTGTGGAAGTGATGGTGATGTGAGAATTTGGGAAGACTTGGATGATGATGATCCTAAGTCGATTAATGTTGGAGAAAAGGCATATTCATGTGCACTAAAGGTGTGTATGTATGTATGTGCTATATCAGATGTTATAATGTGATAATGATGTAATTTTTTACCTGAATAAGAAATATTTTTTATAGACGTTTTGAATACAGAATACTTTTTTCTTTTATGAAATAATAATATTGAAAATGAGCAGCAATGCCAGTAACTTGCTGCAGAATTTAAAGCTAACATCTGAATTGTTTATTGGTGATGTTGTTGTTAGATGCCATTGAGTTGAGTATGATGCATAACAACCCTTTGAACAACAGATCTGAACCCTGTCCTGTCCTGTACCATCTTCACACTTCCTGGCACACGAGAGCCCATTGTGGCAGTAACCGTGTCAATCCACCAGGGTGAGGGTATTCCTCCACCATTCCAAGCATCATACCCCTCTCTAAGGAATAGCCCCTCCTAGCAGCATGCTCGAAGTATGTGCAGTGAAGCCTCATCATCCTTGCTTTCAAAGAACACTCTGGCTGCATCATCTCCAAGACATATTTGTTTATTCTTTTGGCTGTCCATGTGATATTCAGTTTCTTCAATACAACACAGCTTAAAGGCATCAATTCTTCTTCTGACATCCTTATTCATTATCCAGCTGTCAGATGCATAACAAGTGATCGGAAAGACAGTGGCCTGAATCAGATGCTCCTTAGTTTTCAAACTGACATTATTACTCCCCAAGAATAAAAAAATAGATTGATAATTATTGGGTATTAATGGTTAGAGAACTAAAATATGTGTAGCACAAACAGATGATTTTTTTTTAAAGATACTTATGTGCCATCATTTTTTCCATGAGTTAAATACTAGTTTTTAATTCACGGATTCAGATAACATAAGGAATCTTTCTAGAAAAGAGTAGTGCTTCATTAATTTTCTAATGTGTCTGTATATTTCACATATTCTTCATGTTTTATGTGAAGTACGCGTGAGAGTGACATAGATTTCAAGGAGAATTAGTATCTTTTCTGAAAACCTGTGCAACTTGTTGTTAGTTGTCTTCAAGTAGACATCGATTTATAGCAACACTGTAAACAACACGTCTGAACCTTGCCCTATCCTGTGCCATCCTTATCATCACCACTATACTGCAGTCACTGTGTCGGTCTGTCTTGTTGAAAGTCTTCCTTTCTTTTTCTATTGAAAGTCCTCCACTTTTTTCAGCATGTCTTTCCCTAAGGACTGGTCCCTCCTGACAACATGCCCAAAATATGTGAAATGTGAAGTTTCACTATCCTTCAATTTTTATTGACTTAAGACTTTTTATTCAAGTATCTAAAAATACCGCTAATTTTTTTCTTGATAAATTTTAAGTTGAGTAGTTGAGTATATTAAATTTGTATAGAAACAATGTCTTTATAGAATTTGTAATTTCTCCCTCAGTCTTAGTAGGTGATTTTTAAAATTATTTTTCCAAATGATCACATATAATGAGAAGTACTTTCTATAGATATACTCTAAATATACAGAGCTCTGGTGGTTAACTGGTTAGGAGGTGTGTGCACTGCCAACCCTTCTGTGCATGGTTTGAATCCTCTAGCTGCTTATGGGATAAAGATGGGGAATCTCCTTCTGTTCAGTTTACTACTTTTGAAGATCACTTGTTATGCATTTGAGAGCTGGTCAATGAATAAGGATGACAATAAAAATGAATGTCTTTGAACTATGGTGTTGGAAGAAAGTACTGACTATCCCATTGACTGCCAAAAGATCAAATAGGTAATGTCTTGTAGAGAGATGAAACAGGTAATGTCTTGGAGAGAGTGAAGCCACATTACTCCTTGGAAGCAGGGATTGCAAAGCTTTGTCTCTCATCCTTCATGCATGTTGCTAGGAGAGGCTATTCCTTTGACAAAGATATCATACTTAGAAAGGTGGAGGGCCAGCGGAGAAGAGGAAGACCTTCAGCCAGGTGGATTGACATAGTGACTGCAGTAATGGGTGCAAATATGTCAAAGATTGTGTTTAAGATTGGCACAAGATAGGACAAGATTCAGGTCTCTTGTTCATAGGGTCGCTATAAGTAGTATTCAACTCCGTACCACCTCACAACAATAAAACCCCTTTTAGGGTCAGCTTTAAGTCAGTTCTTATTCAATGGTACATAACAACAACATATTAAGTGTAAGTGAAATCTGAAGAATAAAGAAAAAAGTGAAAATTAAACTATTATAATTCCCCCCCCTATACAATTAGCAAGATGGAAAACATTGCTAATCCCAGAAATAGTGAGAGTTTGGGGAAGTAATAGTTAACTTGTGGTTAGCTCTCTTTGCATAAAGTGGCCCTTTTATCAACGATTTAGAGAGTTGTGTGCAATTATCTTTTTATTTGTACCTGAGAAAACTAAAGCTCAGAGAAAGACGAAATTGTGCACAATAGACTTCTAGTCAGTGAATTCTCTACAGCTGGCATCTATTTTCCCCTGTGCACCATGTAAGAAAGTGACAGGACCAGATCCTGATCAGGAACTTGTTTCTTTTTTAGATTACTGGTACTTAGAGTGACTTAGAGAATGCTTTTCAAAACAAATCTTTTATTCCATTCTTCCAGGTGTATACAGTTATACTTGGATGTTTACACATAAGGCTATTAGCTTCTTATTAAAGAGTTACCACAATTTTTCACTACAGTTACTAGATAAAAGGAAGGGTTCTTAGTCTGTTATATTAAGAAATCTATTTGCCAAGCACAGCACAGCTAGGTTGCAAAATTCCAACATATACATCTTCAGCTTTGTCTTTTGTTGGCTTTAGGGTTTTTGTTGTAGATTCTCTTCTTGTGTTTCCTTTAAATTATTTTTACCTTAGTTGCAACACTATTAACTTACTGTTCTAGATTTGAAGTGTATATTGCAGTTTGAATTTAAATCATCTTTCCTGTTGGCTGTAGGGAGTTCTGGTGGCCTAGTCCATAAGGAGGTGTGCAGCTAACCAAAAGGCTATGTCTTTCCGGATGTTCAAATCCACCAGCGTCTCTGAGGGAGAGACATGGGCCATTTCCCCCCATGTGATTTACAACCTTGGAAACTTAGTAGAGTGTCAGCTGTATAAGTTGGTGCCAAGTCAAACACAGTAAAGTTTTTTAATAATGTTACTCGAACAGATGTACAAATCTTTCAAAGTTTTGCTATGTGATGATATTGTTGTCAAGTTCTTTTTCCTCTGGAGTACAGGCAGGTGCTATATAGAAATCTTGGGGGTCCTATGTTTGCAAATATGTCTGCAGCTTTTACTGTAAAGGGTATATTTACTACTAGACTCAAATAGTTTGATTCTTTTGACAGCTGTCTTCTAAATTCATAAAGTAAGCGTATGATATATCAAAGCTTATAAGATCTTATTTACACCCTGTGGTATCCCTGTGGTATCTTAGTGTGTAAGGACTTGGACTACTAATCAAAAGGTCAGTTGAAATCCACTAGTTTCTCCAAATGAGAGAGATAGGCAGTCGCTGCCCTTAAAGATTTACAGCCTTGAAAACCTGATGTATAGTTGCTGTGAGTCACAGCCAACTCAGTGGCATAGGGTTTGGCTTTATGGTATGATCTTAGGTCCCTGAGTGATACTAATGGTTTGTGCTTAATGGCTAATCACAACAGAAACTAGTGAAAGATGAGCAGCTTGGATCTACTGTTTGTTGTTGAAGAGTCTACTTTCATAAGACTTTACAAGCATTGCAAAAGCCTTGGGGATGGGCTCTAGGGATCAACGGGGGGGGGGGGGGGGTGCTGTCAGTTAGAACTGACTCAACTGCAACAGATTTTTGGGGGTGGGGCATGTAGAAGTTCAGTAGGTATGGTTTAGTCCCTTGGGATAGAAGTGTGTTTTAAGGAAGTAATAAAATTAAGATACTGGAGCAGGCTCTTGTCATTCATTTTAAAATCCTAAGGTGGAAAACCTGATAGAAGAACTGGTGTTGCTGATTATTTTCAGATCCTAAAACTTATGTTCTGTTGTTGAAGTGTCATGAATTCTGGATTTAGATTTTGCTAGAAAGAATATAATTACTTCATTGTGGAAACATTGGGTAACACTACAATGTAGCCCTGTGCCTTCCTTTTCTCTTTTTTTTTCATATGAAGGGATTTATTTGCCTTCTCAAAGTGGAAGCAGACATTCCTCTGGTTGTTGACAAAGCTGGAGCTGTGATTTGGAATGCCTTCCCTTATTCTTTTTTTTTTTTTTT